ACAATCAGTCTGGTTTTTTGTTTGTTTTTTTTCATTTTTACATCACTTCCTTTTAATCACCTTTGTATACATTGCTGTCTTCAGAATGTTTCAACTTAGGAATTATATCAAGTAAATGTTGGTGGATAAACATCAGTAAAGGTGAAAGAGTACCACCACACCATCCACTTAGCAAAATTAGATGGTTCAGCTTCTTGTAAACTACTACATGATGAAGCCCTTCCTGTTGAATAAGTGGATGAGAATACTGTACTTCCTTGTTCTCCCTAGAAACATATGGTTCACTCATCTATTCTTGAGTTTGCGAAAACTCATTTAGAATATGCATCTGAAGAGTCATGGTCTGAGATTTTGCTTACCTGGTCAGCTTAATCAACATCATTAGGATCTACAGTATGGTCATCTGTCTCTTTGCATTCACCTTTTGATTCCTTTAAAAAGTGTGAAAATTCCTGTTAATTTTCTTCTATTTGCCATTATGGTTAAAATGAAAAATTCTACTCTCAACTGTATTCATTGAAAGCCTAAAACAAAAGACTTTACAGGTGGTGTCTCTGCAGACCTTCCTATCTTCTTGAAAGACAATGCAATACTTTGGGCAATGCTAAATGAAAACTGAAGGATTATGTAATAGTGATGTTATTTTACCATTATGTTCTTCTTCTAGGCGATTCTATCATTGTTCCATTCGGGAATAATTGATTAGTGATGATTAAATAATTCCTGGGATGACAAAATAGCAAAATATTTCAAAAGATATAGAAAACATTAAATCATTGAGATCCCACAATGTATCTTAAGTTATAAAAGGGTCCAATGGACCTATATGGGAATTGAAAAATGTTTTATTCTATTTTTAATAAGTAAATTTTCTCTTTATCTTTTATAGAATATTAGGAATGATTAAAAGTCATTAAATATCAATCCTTATAGTTAGAACTGCACAAAAAACTAAAATTTTATCCAATGGACCTGGATGGTATCTCTTTGGTTAAAGAATCATAAAATGTTTTCAGTTAAAGCCATGGGAAATATAAGTTATCTCTTAGAGAACTAAAAACCTCATGAAGGTAAACTGTTCATCAGTCTAGATCACAGGGTCAGAGTTCACAGTCCATGCTTTCTTTGTTGAAATTGCCCTGCATTCCACAAAGGGCTGGGTGAGTGTTCTTGGAGATCCTAGCACCCAAGCCACAGATAATTAATTGGCCCAGGGGTGGACAGTTGACCCAAGTTGAGAATACAAATTCCTTTTCCCAGATTTTGAATCATAAGAAACAAACATGGGACATTGGGGCTAGAGCGAGGCAGAGCTAGCAGCACCACAGGGCCCAAAGTCTAGAGCAAAACTAAATTACAAAGAAGCAGGAAAGACGACATCTTCAGAGAAGCCAAACTACAAACCAAGTGAAAATGCACACAATCAGGACAACATGGCCCAATGATGGGCAAAAGGTGACAAAAACTGACTGAAATTCCTGCTATTGGAATTACCCACATTCTTCAACAAAACCCCTTTACTTAAGTTAGAATTGGGTTTCTGTTTCCTGAAAACAAGAAACCCCTAAAACAGAAATTAGTGCTAGGAAGGGAACTGCAAGTAACAGCCTCTGAGTGAAAATGTAGAACTAGCTGTGGAGTCAAGACTGAGGGATGGGGTAACGATGGATGACTGAAGCCTACTAAAATTCTGAGACAGTTATCACCAGAAGAATCTTTTTTTCCTATTCCATGGAAAACTGGTAGTATGGAGATAAAAGATGGCAAAATAGCTAATTAACAATTGTCTAAAACCTCTTAGGACACAAACCATGTTACTAAAGGCAAAGCTTCAGATTTAAAAACTGTCAAATGTTAAAATGTAGGAATATATTAGACATAATTAAAAGGCAGTGGCAAAGAGGGTTTTCTACACCAGATTGTCTGGCTAAAGGCAGATAGGGAAAAACAGGAAATCACATATTTATGTTTCATCACAGGAAATCTTTTCTGCTAAGACTGTTGAAGATCAAATCCAGATATTATTGATGACTGGAAAAGCTCAGGGCTCAGGAGCCTAGCAACTGAAAGGAAGGTATCTAGCAGCAGCTAGAAGTTTGGGAAGCCCAGCTCTTTTCCACAGGATAGACATGTTGATGTCTATCACTTACTCCCTCCCCCACCCCACCGCGAGCTCCTAGTAAAACACTTCCCTAGGTTGGAATGTACCTTGTGGAGAGGAGGGATTTTTAGGGACAGGCCACGGGAAGTCCCTCCTGTCCTGCAAACCTCTTTCCAGTAACTTTTTATTCTCTTGAGGACAGGGCCATTAACAACAAAGGGCCTAAGAGCTGAGTAACAAAAATCCTGAAGAGATGGTCATTAGGTAGCCTGGTGATTAAGCAGCAAGCTTACCCCCACAGAAATTCCTGACATGCCTTTTCAATGATGTCCTCAAAACAGACAGTGATTGAAAGCCCACTAAATATCTGAGGTAGTTATCACCAGGAGAACCTTACTCTTGAATGAGCACCTGTACCAACTCACACCAACATGGTGTTGAGTCTTGGCCTCTTCTGGAGCCTCTGATTCAAGTAGCAAAAGGATGCTGGCACCAGAAATTCACTGAAGTGTAGAGGAGACTCCAATGTTCTTTAAGGAGCAGGCCGGGACAGTGGAAAAAGGAAACCCTTCTAATGGCCAGATCAGACCCTAGGACTGTCAGGCATGACTTAGAAACGTGTCTACTGCCAAAGGAATCAAGAAACAGACTCATGGCATGAACTTAGGGGCAGACTAGGGACCTGTATATGATCCTGTTTCCTAGGTTTCTTGCCAACCTAAGTCAGTCTCTTTTCCTAAGTGATTATTTTTATTGACGGTTTCCCTATTGCATTGGCGGTGTGACGGCAGTAAAATGTGCCAATAAACCCAGAAGGGATCATTCTGGCAGGATCGTGATTACAAGGGCTGGATGGCGACTGAGCGACAGGCATTTGTGGCTGTACCTGGAGCACATTAAGCAAAACTATCTTGAAGCATGAGTTTCCTCTACAGTGAAAATGCAGTGGTAAGTTAGTGGAATTGACCTGGTGTACATCCACTTCTTGGGAATGATTCCCAAACCCCCCTTTTTTACAAGGTGACTCCATTTTCAAGGCTTCCACAATGGTTGTGCAAGGTTGTGTGTACCCTGCAGTCTTATGAAGAGGTTCCTGCTCCATCGTCGTCAACTGATTGAGACCCCTAACCACACTGAACAAGATTCAGTCTCTGAAGGACTTGAACTAAGAGATACAAAGACAGGTAAGCAGCAGAGCTCAATGGAGCTTCGATTCTACAGAACTAGGTTCAGAGTCTGCATCATGGCTGCAAGGCATGAGCAAGCCAAGGCTATGGGGACAGGACTAACATGTCAAGCTGTGTGGGGAAGCAGAAATGAAGAGGCCTTCAGAGAAACCAGTTCACAGAGAAGCAAGCAGATGCATAGGTGATTATGTGTAAGAAAAAGAGTGAGGGAGAGGGAGTTAGAGGGAGAGCAGAAAACAAGGTGGGTAGAGGACAGAGACAGAACTAGACAGAGAGAGGAATAGCCAGAGGCAGCTAGACACAGAGATAAACTGCTAATGACTTTCTAGACACCACAATGTCCATCTATACTTCCTGCAATTAAATTCCAGATTTCTGATTTTTTTTAACAACTCCCCTTTTACAAACTACTTTAGGTAGACTTCTGATTCTTACGACCAAACAATTCTTGACCTAAATATCTGCTTCTTGACTGTAGCTGCATCTTTTAAATGTTTAATTTGCAACTATGGAAATATATGTACCACCTAACATAACTGGAGTACTGTAAAAAAAAGTGAGGCCCTCAAGGAAGAGGTACTATAATCTGTAGTATCTTACAACTTACAGAAGACAGACTTGGTTTTAAACAATAATAGCTAACATTTACTGAATACTTTCCTTGGGCCAGTTTCAAAAGTTGTACGTGCATGATGATCTCACCTATTCTTCATGACAAACATAGGTTCTATTATTATCATGCCCATTTTACAGATAAGGAAATTAAGGCACAAAGAAAGATTAGATTAATAAGTAACTTGCTTAAGGTCACACAGTCAATAAGGAGATAAAGGTGGAATCTACTGTTTATTTACATTAAAACTGACATTTGAAAAAAAAAGTATCCATTCATTTAAAATTCATTTTGGTCAATTAATTTTTTGTTGAATGCCTATTATGTACAAAGTACTGATTTAAACTAATAAACTGGTTAACATAAGTGTTACAAATATAAATATCACTATTCAAAACATCTTTTTGTGGGATATACACACATAATAAAAGATGCACTTTCAAATTAAGTTTTGTTATTTCAAAAATGCCTCCTTTAAAACAGAAGGAAATAAATTCTAAAAACGCTAATTTCAATGCATTAACTATTTCAAAATTCACTGGAATACTGGAAGGTTACTTGCTGTAAGCTGGATGCCTGTGAAAATCAACCTAGACTTCAGAGGGACGTCTACATTGATAAATATGCATCCATTTAATTAATTACAGTGCAAATTACATACATTTATATAAAAAAGTACAAGGATGAGAGGAGTTTTTCATGGGAGGTGGTGAGCTGCCATGGCATCTGCTTCTCTTGATTTCCGAAGCAGGGCCTGTTTGAGAGCACTGATTTTCTCATCAAGTTCAGCTAGTGAGTAGTTCTGCTGTAAACAAAGAACACAAATTGCTGAATAAGACTCTGAAGTATCTTCATGCAGATAAAGTGATAAATGAACTATAAATATTTAAAATATCCAAAAGCAAGGTAAATATCTTTTTTTCTCATGAGAATAATTTTTAAATTGAACCATACATGTTGACTCTACCATGAATTTTAAGATATACAGTAACAAGGCTTACCCTTCCTTCCTTCCTTCCTTCCTTCCTTCCTTCCTTCCTTCCTTCCTTCCCTCCCTCCCTTTTTTCTTCTTCTTTCTCTCTCTCNGTCAATTAATTTTTTGTTGAATGCCTATTATGTACAAAGTACTGATTTAAACTAATAAACTGGTTAACATAAGTGTTACAAATATAAATATCACTATTCAAAACATCTTTTTGTGGGATATACACACATAATAAAAGATGTACTTTCAAATTAAGTTTTGTTATTTCAAAAATGCCTCCTTTAAAACAGAAGGAAATAAATTCTAAAAACGCTAATTTCAATGCATTAACTATTTCAAAATTCACTGGAATACTGGAAGGTTACTTGCTGTAAGCTGGACGCCTGTGAAAATCAACCTANAAATTCACTGGAATACTGGAAGGTTACTTGCTGTAAGCTGGATGCCTGTGAAAATCAACCTAGACTTCAGAGGGACGTCTACATTGATAAATATGCATCCATTTAATTAATTACAGTGCAAATTACATACATTTATATAAAAAAGTACAAGGATGAGAGGAGTTTTTCATGGGAGGTGGTGAGCTGCCATGGCATCTGCTTCTCTTGATTTCCGAAGCAGGGCCTGTTTGAGAGCACTGATTTTCTCATCAAGTTCAGCTAGTGAGTAGTTCTGCTGTAAACAAAGAACACAAATTGCTGAATAAGACTCTGAAGTATCTTCATGCAGATAAAGTGATAAATGAACTATAAATATTTAAAATATCCAAAAGCAAGGTAAATATCTTTTTTTCTCATGAGAATAATTTTTAAATTGAACCATACATGTTGACTCTACCATGAATTTTAAGATATACAGTAACAAGGCTTAATCTTCCTTCCTTCCTTCCTTCCTTCCTTCCTTCCTTCC